TGGCTCTCTCACTGCTTTCTTCATGCCCGGAGGCAGCTGGTGACTTGCTTACCCTGCACTTGGAGCGCGTATCAAGCTGACAATACTTTGCGTGGGTTCCCTAGCTATCGGGATCGCTTTAGGCGTCCAGTTGACGAGCCTCCTAAGTATTAGGTCTGTTTCTGCAGAAATTACAAACCAGTCAGAGCGAATTTCATTAGTATCAGTCCATGAAATTAACTCTAACTGGTTTGTGATTTCTGCAGAAACAGTCCTAATACTTAGGGGGCTCGTCACCTGGCCGCCTAAAGCGATCCCGATAGCTAGAGGACCCGCGCAAAGTATTGTCAGCCTGATACGCGCTCCAAGTGCAGGATAAGCAAGTCACCACACTTTTGTCGAGAAAAATGGCGGGAGAGCTCTTCGTTTTCTCTAGCGCAGAGAACAGAGGCAAACAGGTGAGATGCTGTCCCGATTACTATCCGTAGAGAACTTTATTGATCGGTCATACAAAGAACGAATATGTAGAAAATTACAAAATAAACTACCTATACGCGCTCCAAGTGCAGGATAAGCAAGTCACTATACTTCTGTCGAGAAAAATGAGGAGAGAGCTCTTCGTTTTCTCTGGCGCAGAGAACTGGGGCAGACAGGTGAGATGTTGTTTCGATTACTGTCCTTAGGGAACTTTAATGATCGGTCATACAAAAGACGAAAGTTACAAAATAAACTACCTAAGGTTAAAACTGACCCAAAGATCTGAGAAACGTTGCCACTGCTCGTTTGCATTTGTTGACCTCTTTATCTCAAATAGTTTTTCCGATGTTTTATAAACTAAAATCTATCACATAAACAAATAATTATTATTCTCGGCTCTTGATTTCTTTCTTCTTTCTGATACTCAATGAAAACGTTACAACACAACTGACAAGTGTAACCCAATTAGCCCGCCTAGTAAAAGGGCATCAGAGGGAGTTGGCTATAGCGCCCACCACTTGTCTCACTGATTGGCTCACTTTGACATTTTAAAATTCACGGTTTTTGATTGGCTTAAAAATTCACTATTTGTGAATTCCCGGCCCTTGATTTGCTTAATTTTTTTTTTTAATTTGCCTGACTCTTGATTGGTTTAGAAATGGAATTTTTAATTATTCTCGGCTCTTGATTGGCAAATTAAAATAGGAAAATACCAGTGGCGTACACTCGATCGACCTATAAATAATGTACCTACATAGGAAACTTTATGATTATTTGAAAACTGTAAAGTTCGCCTCACGAGTCTAGCACTATGAAAAGAATGCGGATAAAAAAATTGCAATATTGCCTATTTGACTTCCAATAGAAAATTCCTTAATATTTATCTATGTTACACACCTACATTTATACGGAAAAAGTAATATTTAAAAATGCTGCGCGCATGCCTATGACAGGCAGCAAAAAGCTCAAAATGAATGGCGTTATTCCCCCTTGCCCTTCAGACGTCGTAGTGCTAGACTCGTAAGGCAAACTATATGTTATAATATACATAAGGTAAGGTTTGACCATCTGCTCTTATAATAATTATTACTGATATCAACATGTGTATGCGTCCAAGTCTTTGTTAATCTCAGACGATGTCGGCTTGTTTTTGTTCCAATATCTTCCGATAAGTCTTAATTTATTAAAGATTTCGAAGTAAATATTGAATTTTCGGAATAAAAACAGTGTCAGATGCAGCGACCCAAACATGCCGATAAGAATTTTATTGAGATCTTTTTATGTGATCATTCTACTGTAAATATTTCCATTCTTGATGCACTGAACTTAGTAGATATTTCACAAAAAAATCAAAAATTAGACCATTGACTCTAAGGCAGAAATATCACTCAGTGTGTTTATCGGATTGTAAAAATCATAGCTTCGTTATCCTGAGCTATTTTTCAATGAAATTTCAATATGTTGAAGATGAAAGCTTCCTTAATAAACAAAAAAATATTTGGTTCCTCCAAGTTTGCCAGATTTCCAGAAAAAAATCACAAATTAGATCATTGACTCTAAGGCAGAAATATCACTCAGTGTGTTTAGCGGATTGTAAAAATCATAGCTCCGTTATCCTGGGATATTTTTCCATGAAATTTCCATATGTTGAAGCTGAAAGCTTCCTTGATAAGCAAAAAAATATTTGGTTCCTCCAAATGTCCCAGATTTCCAGAAAAAAAAATCACGAATTAAATCAATGACTCTAAGGTAGAAATATCACTCAGTGTGTTTAGCGGATTGTAAAAATCATAGCTCCGTTATCCTGAGCTATTTTTCCATGAAATTTGAATATGTTGAAGCTGAAAGCTTCCTTAATAAACAAGAAAAATATTTAGTTGCTCAACGTTTCCCAAATTTCCAGAAAAAAATAAAAAATTAGATCATTTACTCTAAGGCAGAAATATCACTCAGTGTGTTTAACTGATTGTAAAAATCATAGCTCCGTTATCCTGTACTATGCTTCCATAAAATTTTAGTATGTTGAAGCTAAAAGCTTCCTTAATAAACAAAAAAATATTTGGTTCCTCCAAGTTTGCCAGATTTCCAGAAAAAAAATCACAAATTAGATCATTGACTCTAAGGCAGAAATATCACTCAGTGTGTTTATCAGATTGCGAGAATCATAGCTTCGTTATCCTGGACTATTTTTCGATAAAATTTTAGTATGTTGAAGCTGAAAGCTTCCTCCATAAATAAGAAAATATTTGATTCCTCCAAGTTTCCCACAATTCCAGAAAAAAGATCAAAAATTATACCATTCACTCTAAGGCAGAAATATCACTCAATGTGTTTATCAGATTGCGAAAATCATAGCTCCGTTATCCTGGACTATTTTCCGATAAAATTTTAGTATGTTGAAGCTGAAAGCTTCCTCCATAAATAAAAAAATATTTGATTCCTCCAAGTTTCCCACAATTCCAGAAAAAAGATCAAAAATTATACCATTCACTCTAAGGCAGAAATATCACTCAGTGTGTTTATCGGATTGTAAAAATCATAACTCCGTTATCCTGAGCTATTTTTCCATGAAATTTCAATATGTTGAAGCCGAAAGCTTTCTTAATAAACAGAAAAATATTTGGTTCCTCCAAGTTTGCCAGATTTCCAGAAAAAAAATCACAAATTAGATCATTGACTCTAAGGCAGAAATATCACTCAGTGTGTTTATCGGATTGTAAAAATCATAGCTCCGTTATCCTAGGATATTTTTCCATGAAATTTCAATATGTTGAAGCTGAAAGCTTCCTTAATAAACAAAAAAATATTTGATTCCTCGAAGTTTCTCACAATTCCAGAAAAAAAAATCAAAAATTAGACCATTGATTCTAAGGCAGAAATATCACTCAGTGTGATTATTGGATTGTAAAAATCATAGTTCCGTTATCCTGGACTATTTTTCCATAAAATTTTAGTGTGTTGAAGCTGGAAGCTTCCTTAATAAACAAAAAAATATTTGGTTCCTACAAGTTTCCCACAATTCCAGAAAAAAAATCAAAAATTAGACCATTGACTCTAAAGCAGAAATATCACTCAGTGTGACTATTGGATTGTAAAAATCATAATTCCGTTATTCTGAATTATATTTCCATAAAGTTTTGATATGTTGAAGCTGAAAGCTTCCTTCATAAATAAAAAAATTCTTGATTCCTCTAAGTTTCTCACAATTCCAGAAAAAAATCAAAAATTAGGCCATTGACTCTAAGGCAGAAATATCATTGAGTGTGTTTATCGGATTGTAAAAATCATAGCTCCGTCACCCTGGGCTATTTTTCAAATACATTTTAGTATGTTGAAGCTTAAGGCTTTCTTATTAATTAAAAATATATTCGGTTCCTCCAGGTTCTCCAGATTTCTAGGAAAAAAATCAAAAATTAGACCATTGACTCTAAGGCAAAAATATCACTCAGTGTGTTTATCGGATTGTAAAAATCATAGCTCCGTTATCCTGGGCTATTTTTTTATAAAGTTTCAACGTGTTGAAGCTGAAAGCTTTCTTAATAAATAAAAAAATATTTGGTTCCTTCAAGTTTCCCAGATTTCCAGAAAAAAAAGAAAAAATTAGATCATTGACTCTAAGCCACTAATATCACTCAATGTGTTTATCGGATTGTAAAAATCATAGCTCCGTTATCCTGAGCTATTTTTTCATAAAATTTCAGTATGTTGAAGCTGAAAGCTTCCTTAATAAACAAAAAAATATTTGGTTCCTCCAGGGTTCCCAGATTTCCAGAAAAAAAAACACAAATTAGATCATTGACTCTAAGGCAGAAATATCACTTAGTGTGTTTATCGGATTGTAAAAATCATAGCTCCGTTATCCTGGGATATTTTTCCATAAAATTTCAATATGTTGAAGCTGAAAGCTTCCTTAATAAACGAAAAAATATTTGGTTCCTCCAAGTTTCCCAGATTTCCAGAAAAAAATCACAATTTAGACCATTGACTCTAAGGCAGAAATATCACTCAGTGTGTTTATCGGATTTTAAAAATCATAGCTCCGTTACCCTGGGCTATTTTTCCTCAAAATTTCAGTATGTTGAATCTAAAAACTCCCTTAATAAACAAAAAAATATTTGGTTCCTCCAAGTTTCCCAGATTTCCAGAAAAAAATCACAATTTAGACCATTGACTCTAAGGCAGAAATATCACTCAGTGTGTTTATCGGATTTTAAAAATCATAGCTCCGTTACCCTGGGCTATTTTTCCTCAAAATTTCAGTATGTTAAAGCTGAAAGCTTCCTTCATAAATAAAAAAATATTTGGTTCCTCCAAGTTTCGCAGGTTTCCAGAAGAAAAATCACAAATTAGATCATTGACTCCAAGCCACTAATATCACTCAGTGTTTTTATCGAATTTTAAAAATCATAGCTCCGTTATCCTGAGCTATTTTTCAATGAAATTTCAATATGTTGAAGATGAAAGCGTCCTTAATAAATAAAAAATTTAATTGTTGAAGAAGTTTCATCCTAAGAAGAGAAAGTCTAAGACAAATATTCACTTACTTAAAGTCCCACTGGGTATGTAGACGTTCCCTGAAGGCGTCCTCACCAAACAAGAAGGTTCAAAATCCTGATTGGGATCTTGTGGAGGTGCGGACGCTAGGCGTCCATTGTGTCTGTTCATTGTCGGATTTCTTGGTGGTACATCTGGAGGACGCGGGGCGTTATCTAGTAAACAACCTAGAACAAACAGAAAAATGAATGTTTTCCAATTTCTATATTAACTTTTTGCACCCCATATATTATGTAAACAAATACCGTTTGCATTTCAAAAAGCTGGAAATTTTATCCAGATAAAATGAAATACGTATGTGTGTGTGTTTTTTTTTGTCAATATTTACTGATTGAAATCCAATAATAATTGGAAAACCTAAAAATGGTAACAGCTGGGCATTTAAGACATTCTAATTCTGGATTGTTCTATTTCCAGACCAGCGCGGGATTTAAATGGTTGTTGCCCGATGATGTGGTACTCTAAAAAATAAATAGACGTTGTTTATGATGGCAGTATAGGGGATTAAACGGAAGGAGTGTTTATTATTGGCTTGTCATACACTATTCCAGTCTTTTGACCTCATTTTTAATCTACAATATTCAATGATTTATTGTCTTGAGTTCAAAATAAGACTTAATTAGTTTGATTATTAAATGGAAAAGGCATCTCATCATCATTGAGATTATTCAAGAAAGCTGTTGGCAATACAACGCACTTTAATTAAAGGATCCATTAATCTCGGGTTACGATATCGCTTTTTCCTATATTTAGACGCACTCGGTTTCTTGTTTGGTGTTATACAAGGTGTCCCAGAATATGTGGGCAATCTCTCGGTTTCAGATAGAAAACAAAAAAAATAACATATGACAACTTTCCATAAAAAAAAAATTCTTGCGCCCCCTCCTACGAAGTTACGTGCCTTTGAAAATCGGTTTTTTGTTGATAACTTTCAAAATACTTCATGTAATTTTTTTTTCCTTTTACTATGATGGATACTAGATAAGACCCCTTAAAATGGACCCTTTCAAACACACTTGGCCGATTTTCAGAGGCGTCCTTTAGGGGCACGGAACTTCGTAGGGGGGGCCGTAGGAATTTTTTTTTATAGGAAGTTTCCATGTTATTTTTTTTTGTGTTCTATCTGAATCCGAGAGATTGCCCACATATTCTGGAACACCCTGTATACAAAATGTATATATATTGCATTTTGTTTGTTTGTTTGTCTCTTTCAATTTAAATTTTCTCTCGTAAAATTAGAAATTCCTTTAGTTCCCTTGGATTAAATAATGCTTTCATCATGTAAAATTTAATTTAAAAATGAGTATTTAAATTGCGCTGGCAGCGTGTAAAACTAGCTGCAGAGGATTTTTCATTAATATTTGTTTGTTTGCTTATGGAGGAAATTTTTGATATAATTATTAAATATGTGTAATTTTCCTTAGGAGTTGTATTGTGGGGGTTGTTATTGATTATTCTCGGCTCTTGATTTATTTTATTTTCACTGATCTCTGCATTGATTTAATTGGGTGATCTTTTTCAAAAATTCAAATTTTGATTATTCCCGGCTCTTGATTCGAATCAAGAGCCAAAGATTTTATTTCTAAACTTCAAATTTGCCTTGTTTAATAAAGACATCCTGGTTAATAAATCCTGAAAGTTTCAGGTCCATCTGATACTATGAAGTATTTTTCAGGATTTCTCAAAGTTGATTTAACGTGAATTTTTCAAGTTTTTCTGGTATTAGGTTGGAGAAGACCTCATAATTCAATTTCTAGTGTTTGTTGAAAACATGCTGATTAATAAATCCTGAAAGTTTGAAATCGATCTGATACTCTGAAGTATTTTTCAGGATTTTTCAAACGTGAATTTTCCAACTTTTTCTGGTATTAGGTTGGAAAAAACCTCGTACTTCAATTTCTAGGCTTCAGATCAACTTCAAACTTGCATTGTTTGTTGAAAATATGCTAGTTAATAAAACCTGAAAGTTTGAAATCGATCTGATACTCTGAAGTATTTTTCACGATTTTTCAAACGTGAATTTTCCAACTTTTTCTGGTATTAGGTTGGAAAACAACTCATAATTTAATTTCTAGGCTTCAAATCAACTTCAAATTTGCAGTGTTTGTTGAAAACATGCTGGTTAATAAATCCTGAAAGTTTGAAATCGATCTCATACTCTGAAGTATTTTTCAGGATTTTCCAAACGTGAATTTTCCAACTTTTTCTGGTATTAGGTTGGAAAAGACCTCATAATTCCATTTCTAGGTTTCAAATCGACTTAAAATTTGCAGTGTTTGTTGAAAACATGCTGGTTAATAAATCCTAAAATTTTGAAATCGATTTCATACTCTGAAGTATTTTTCAGGATTTTCCAAACGTGAATTTTCCAACTTTTTCTGGTATTAGATTGGAAAAGACCTCATAATTCAATTTCTAGACTTCAGATCAACTTCAAATTTGCATCGTTTGTTGAAAACATGCTGGTTAATAAATCCTGAAAGTTTGAAATCGATCTCATACTCTGAAGTATTTTTCAGGATTTTTCAAACGTGAATTTTCCAACTTTTTCTGGTATTAGGTTAGAAAAGACCTCATAATTCAATTTCTAGGCTTCAAATCAACTTCAAATTTGCAGTGTTTGTTGAAAACATGCTGGTTAATAAATCCTGAAAGTTTGAAATCGATCTCATACTCTGAAGTATTTTTCAGGATTTTTCAAACGTGAATTTTCCAACTTTTTCTGGTATTAGATTGGAAAAGACCCCATAATTCAATGTTTAGGCTTTAGATCAACTTCAAATTTGCACTGTTTGTTGAGAACATGCTGGTCAATAAATCCTGAAAATTTGAAATCGATCTCATACTCTGAAGTATTTTTCAGGATTTTTCAGACGTTAATTTTCCAACTTTTTCTGGTATTAGGTTGGAAAAGACCTCATAATTCAATTTCTAGGCTTCAGATCAACTTCAAATTTGCATTGTTTGTTGAAAACATGCTGGTTAATAAATCCTGAAAGTTTGAAATCGATCTCATACTCTGAAGTATTTTTCAGGATTTTTCAAACATGATTTTACGTGAATTTTTCAAGTTTTTCTGGTATTAGGTTGGAGAAGACCTCATAATTCAATTTCTAGGCTTCAGATCAACTTCAAATTTGCATTGTTTGTTGAAATCATGTTGGTTAATAAATCCTGAAAGTTTGAAATCGATCTCATACTCTGAAGTATTTTTCAGGATTTTTCAAACGTGAATTTTCCAACTTTTTCTGGTATTAGGTTAGAAAAGTCCTCATAATTCAATTTTTAGGCTTCAGATCAACTTCAAATTTGCATTGTTTGTTGAAAACATGCTGGTTAATAAATCCTGAAAGTTTGAAATCGATCTGATATTGGGAAGTATTTTTCAGGATTTTTCAAAGGTAATTTAACTTGAATTTCCCAACTTTTTCTGGTATCAGGTTGGAAAAAACCTCATAATTTTATTTCTGAGCTTCAAATTGACTTCAAATTTGCATTGTTTGATGAAAACATGCTGGTTAATAAATCCTGAAAGTTTAAAATCGATCTGATACTCCGAAGTATTTTTCAGGATTTTTCAAACGTGAATTTTCCAACTTTTTCTGGTTTTAGGTTGGAAAAGACCTCATAATTCAATTTCTCGGATTCAGATCAACTTCAAATTTGCAGTGTTTGTTGAAAACATGCTGGTTAATAAATCCTGAAAATTTGAAATCGATCTCATACTCTGAATTATTTTTCAGGATTTTTCAAACGTGAAATTTCCAACTTTTTCTGGTTTTAGGTTGGAAAAGACCTCATAATTCAATTTCCAGGCTTCAGATCAACTTCAAATTTGCATTGTTTGTTAAAGACATGCTGGTTAATAAATCCTGAAAGTTTGAAATCGATCTCGTACTCTGAAGTATTTTTCAGGATTTTCCAAACGTGAATTTTCCAACTTTTTCTGGTATTAGGTTGGAAAAGACCTCATAATTTAATTTCTGGGCTTCAGATCAACTTCAAATTTGCAGTGTCTATTGAAAACATGCTGGTTAATAAATCCTGAAAGTTTGAAATCGATCTCATACTCTGAAGTATTTTTCAGGATTTTTCAAAGATGATTTAACGTGAATTTTCAAAGTTTTTCTGGTATTAGGTTAAAAAAAGACCTCATAATTCAATTTTTAGGCTTCAAATCAACTTCAAATTTGCAGTGTTTGTTGAAAACATGCTGGTTAATAAATCCTGAAAGTTCGAAATCGATCTCATACTCTGAAGTATTTTTCAGGATTTTTCAAACGTGAATGTTCCAACTTTTTCTGGTATTAGGTTAGAAAAGTCCTCATAATTCAATTTTTAGGCTTCAGATCAACTTCAAATTTGCATTGTTTGTTGAAAACATGCTGGTTAATAAATCCTGAAAGTTTGAAATCGATCTGATATTGGGAAGAATTTTTCAGGATTTTTCAAAGGTATTTTAACCTGAATTTCCCAACTTTTTCTGGTATCAGGTTGGAAAAAACCTCATAATTTTATTTCTGAGCTTCAAATTGACTTCAAATTTGCATTGTTTGTTGAAAACATGCTGGTTAATAAATCCTGAAAGTTTGAAATCGATCTCATACTCTGAAGTATTTTTCAGGATTTTTCAAACATGATTTTACGTGAATTTTTCAAGTTTTTCTGGTATTAGGTTGGAGAAGACCTCATAATTCAATTTCTAGGCTTCAGATCAACTTCAAATTTGCATTGTTTGTTGAAATCATGTTGGTTAATAAATCCTGAAAGTTTGAAATCGATCTCATACTCTGAAGTATTTTTCAGGATTTTTCAAACGTGAATTTTCCAACTTTTTCTGGTATTAGGTTAGAAAAGTCCTCATAATTCAATTTTTAGGCTTCAGATCAACTTCAAATTTGCATTGTTTGTTGAAAACATGCTGGTTAATAAATCCTGAAAGTTTGAAATCGATCTGATATTGGGAAGTATTTTTCAGGATTTTTCAAAGGTAATTTAACTTGAATTTCCCAACTTTTTCTGGTATCAGGTTGGAAAAAACCTCATAATTTTATTTCTGAGCTTCAAATTGACTTCAAATTTGCATTGTTTGATGAAAACATGCTGGTTAATAAATCCTGAAAGTTTAAAATCGATCTGATACTCCGAAGTATTTTTCAGGATTTTT